ACCTTTTGGGGTACCAAAACCTTTATCCAGCTGAAACCATACTCCAGAGATGGACAAAGCTTCAAACATCACCTTCTCTTCGGCGCTTCACTAGTAGCTAATTGTTCTTTGTTCTGTATAGTTGCTTTTCATGGATTTTATCACCACGGCTGTAACTATGAGCCTAGGGGCTCAATTCACAGGAATGAAGAAGATATTCTATACGCACCTGAGAGCTTTGATGGACACTCCCCCAGCAAACAGCTGCAGTCAAACTGCCCTGGAGCTGTTACTGCTCTGATCACCAGTTATGAAGCCCACAGCAGAGCCAGTGAAATAGGATGCAGGTACCTGCTATTCCCAGTGCAAAGTGAAGATGGCTGTCAGAGAGGTTAAACGACAGGATCTGGCATGAAGCTGCCTGGGTGAATGTGTACACCCTCATCTGCCAGTACAGGAACAGTAACCTCCAGCAAAGAGATGCAGAAGGCAGGGAGAAGTAGCAATGCAGAAATCAGTTAAAGGCCATTAACATCTTTAAGCCCATGTGGCAAAGTAATGTTACCCTCTAAAGACCCATTTTGTGGAGCTAGCAGTTTCACTAAGGAGTAATAAAAATTGCCAGATCTCTCGCTGAGAAGTGAGATCACAGGACTTTTCATGTTGACAGAGTCCTAAGAATGGGTACAGATTGAATTTAAATAGTTACAGTTCATTAACACTGCAGCTACTCCAATGTAATTTATTTTGTACTTTAAAACATAAAAATTAGTCCTCAGTAACAACAAAATTAGGAAAACACACTTGACTGCATAAGAATTAGGCTTGTTTATAGTACTTCTTACATTTACCCTTTTAATCTATAATGCTTTACTTCATCTATTACTGTAAATCCTTCAGAAAAAATCCTCCATAGATAAAGAATTGATTACACAACAAAAGTAGGAAACTATCAGTTCCACGTTGCTCCTCAATGCTCAGGAAAAGCAATGCTGATGAAAACATTAATTTATGGCAAGTTTCAGTTCCTTTATACTTCTCTATGTATTAGCTTGCCAACCCAACCTTCATCCTCACAGATGATCTATGATAATTTGCCTTGGAATTTTTGTCATAACAATGAATATCCAGGAGGAGTATTAAGCTAGCAGCAAAATCATTTTTATTTTCAAATAGCTTGTCACATTGTATTTAATAAATAACCACACATACCATCAAGCATCTAATTATGAACAATAAGCATTCATGATATAGTGGAGTATAATCCTAAATCTGTAGTACTGCACTACTACAATCTACTGTGATAGTGCTTCTCAGTTTGAATAACTCATTCCTCAACCCTTGAAAATACAGCTTCTATAGCTATTAGTTAATGCAGGATAAAACAGTATTATCTATTACGTTTTTGTATTTATAAACAAAAAAACCCCTTTCACTGTTCAGTTACCCTGACATTCTACAAAGACTAAATACAGTCTACAGCTACAGTTCGAAGATCAGACTTAAGTAGACACTCACAAAATTCCTTTCTCCTGTTGGGAGGGTCAGGTTCTATAATAACATTCTCTGTATGGACAGAGATATATTCTCTGTCTTGGACAGGTAACAACTCCAGGTTCTTCCCATCTGTACACAACAGTACTCAAAGAAACCAAGGCCACTGGATTTCTTGCTAACCTGACTTTCTTATTCTTAGGACCTTCAGGTGACAAATGCTGAGAAAGTAGAAATATAAAACGCAATCCAACTTCACAACTACATTCAAGAGGCAAGCTCATTGCTTTTTGTATTTTACACCACCAGCATCAAAATAATAATTGAGCAACAAACAATTAGAGCTGAAATGTATTTGACAGTCTGCCTGGACTGCAACAGGTGAAAACAAGAAACTTCCTGTTCATCTAAGACATGAAAGTTCTTCCCATGCAGAGCTCCAAAATTACCATTTCTAACCAATAAACCCCTCTGACATTTACAATATAATTGTGTTTGTAAAGTTCTACCTGGGAAAAGTCTAATAAAAAAAGCTCTTCCTTAAAAGATTTTTCCTTATCCTATTAGGAAAACGAAAGTCACCAATAACAGGAATTCCCTAACAACTGGCATACTTTGAAGCTGCTATTGCTTGTATTTCACAAACCACCACCTGTGACTGTAAAGGTATCAGCTAATCACAGCGAGAGCACTGCACCAGCAGGTGTATTTACCTACATTGATTCCAACTGTCAGGCAAAAAAAAAAAAAAAAAAAAAAAAAAAAAAAAAAAAAAAAAAAAAAAGAAAAGAAAATGAAAACACAGCTAATACAGTTAAATGCATGAACATTGGAAAGCGTTTACTGCCTGGCTCGGCAGCTTAAACTATAACAAAACTAGCCACAAAATCCTGAGATTCTACTACATCTGCTCCATGGACATTTCAGTCATGGGTTTTTTTGCTGTAAATTTAATGGAACTTATGTGGAGGAATGAACAGACCCCCCAGCAAGAACATTTGTAGTTCAGTGCTTAGCAGGTAACACAACAGTTGTGTATTACAGCTAGAGTGAATTTAACTATCACTTATGTTTCCTCACGCACACAGACTACAGATAATGGCACTGAAATCCTACACATACTCTGTTTCAAAACAAGGATGAATAGAGTTTTTAATGAGCTACAACCATCACACCATAACTAAACCCAAACAACAAATGCTAATAGAAGAATTTCCAAGTTACAAAGCAGTCAGCATCACTGCTGTTTTACCCTGTGAAGAGATAATATGTTCACTCCTGTTTATGTAATATTACACACAGCTTCCATCCAAAAGCCCAACCTTGAATTCTCCAAACATGTGATTTATTTCTGGTTGAGGCAGTTACAGATGAAAGGACGTACTTCCGTGGTAAGCTACAACAGTGGTATCACAGGGAAGGGTTTTTCAACAAGTGCATAAAAAACATTGTCAGGGTTCATATAGATTGCCTGATTAAAGAACAGTTCAGTGCCATGCGAAAATATAACGAGGGTATAATCTTACAAATAAAAAATTCCTTGAAGGTGGATAAGATTTTTTTTTTTTTTTTTTTTTTTTTTTACAACCCCAGCAGAAACTGAAGTTTTTGTTTATTTTTGGCAAGGGTTTGTTCTTGTAAAAGTGACAAACCCTTCACAGTAAAAACCTTCATGTTTCTGCTAAGCATAACAGAACAGCTCTACAACTAACAACCTTCAAAGAGATATTTTAAAGACAAGGCATTAAGCAAAATATTTTTTAATTCAGAATTCTGTCCATTAGAATGGTACATTTATAAATTTAATTTATAAATATTATAATATACTGTCAAATTCAAAATACATTAAAATAATTTACATAAACTAACCCTTTCACTTATGAGAATTAATTCAGCAGCACAAAGCAACCTACATTATTAAACCACATGTAGTTGTGCATATGTCCATGGAGACAAGTAATTTTGCTCTTGCATATAGATGAATTGTTAGAATTGTAAGTGACCTCAGGTACACTGTTACAGAGCACTCATAACCTCTAGTGGTATACACTAGCTAGCACAGAGTGGTACACCCACACTAGAAAGCCAGCCATGGATGTTTCCAATCTCTTTTGGAAATGAATCCTGGTGGATTCAATAGCAGCAGTTTGAGACACTGCCACTCAGCTGCCCACACTGAACCTTCTATGTTCACAACCCACAATGTTATCTTCATAGTAACAGTCACTGTCATTTTATTAATCTACTTGCACTTGGCTGCTTGAGTTGTCTGAAGATACAGCAGCCATGGTAAATAGCACAGGTAGAAAACTTACCTTAAGCTACTACAGATATACTCAGTAACAGCTCCTCTGACAAAAGCTTGTTGTGGCCTACAGTGAACTCCGTGGTACAAGATGCTCTGAAGATCCAGTGACAGAAGTGAATCCTCCAAATAAATTACTTCAGTGATGAAGCTCGACAGCAGGGCATTAAAGTCGGCTATTCTAGTTTGAACGGCTTCTTCGAGGTTTTAAAGATACCAACTTGGAAATAAGGCAACAGTCATTCTAAGGCACAGTACACAAGTATCTAAGCAACCTTACCTATAAATGATACATTAAGGTGTGCTTTTATTACCAGTAATTTTATTCAAGTAGAGAAAGAATAAATCAAGTTTATGACAAGACACTACTTTTACTTGCTCCCCCTTTTAACTTTTCCTAGGTCAAGTTTAGCAAAGATTTAATCAAATTATCAGCAAGCCACCAAGTTAAAAAAACAATCAAGCATCTTCAAATACCCATGGAACAATTCTCAAGATGCTGAAATTCTATTACAAATGAATCCTGGTATCTAGACATAGAAAGTGACAAACCCAGCCTTGTTAGCTGTAGGTAACTCATGCTCTAGGTATTTAACTGCTCCTTTGCAGGGGTAATGTGCCACAGGGAATGTGCACAGTGTATTTACATCAAGGAAATCACTGTGATTAAGATTTATAACTCAACTTCCACTACATAAAACAGGTTACAGGAAGGTTTCAAACTGTCTTCCCACCCAGTCAGAGTCAACACAATACTCCTTGAAGGCTTGTACTACTAGGGATGTTTGGATGTCCTCTCTATTCAAATGTATTCTCAGCTGTTGTGAAACAAGTTAGAAAGGTCTGCAAGGACATGCTCCTTATCTCTTAATTAAAGCTTTGGAATAGTCTCCATTACTCTTCAAACCTCTCTCCTTGCTTTTCAGCATTTGCATGCAACTTTCTTTCCAAGAGAAAAGAAAACCTGGACAGACAATTTTTCTCAAAATAAGACTTCTGTAGAGGCAAAGACCCTCCTGCTCCCTGTCCTTTGTTTCAGATATCTGCCAAATATGTAACTAAATGGCAAAGCAAAGGCCAGTTCAATGGTTACTATTCATCACTTTTGGCTACTTAGTTCTTTCAAAACCAAACAGACTATAAGAGCCATAAGACCTTGGAACAACCATTTAAAAAAGTAACATCTAGGGAAGCTTAGCACTTTCCTTGTCTTAAGTTTACCTGTTGATAGGACATAAGAAATTAAATGCAGTCTACTACTTGCTCAGTTGGCTGACTTAGCAAAGGGCTAGAAACCATGAAGTGAAACTGAGTGAATCCTGGAATTTTATTACATGCAGCACCTAGGAAAGAAAGGGGGGGGGGGGAAATGTAATTTGCTGCATTTAAGATTAGTGTCTTTGTTATTGTACTTTATCATCTAAAGACCCAGTTACTGATTCTACTACAATGGTGTAATAGTTCTTTACAATCTGTTTAACCTAAGACGTCTTGAAAGTACTGGATTTTAAGTAAAAATACAGTGCTACTGACTGCTGCAATGCAATTAATGCCCTTATAATACAATTCGAAATGGCAACGTAAGTTAGGAAAATCTGTCTTTCAATCCTGATTCACTTAATGAGTTCCTCCAACACTAATCTCTTAAACACAGAACTATGGGAAGTAAGAGATCAAAGAACAGCAATAAGCAGTCTAACTAAATAAGCCATGTTGATTAGCAAATTGTATTTCCTACTGATCTAAGAGTTCACTAATGAGATGCCTGGCACAGTGACTAATCTTGGAATGCTTTGAAGCTATGCTTAACATTCACATTCTCCCTGCCTTATGCTATATCTAGAGGAGGCATAAACATTCTTTTTTAAAACCTTCAAATTAATCATACACAGTCCAGGAAAACACATGAAGGCTGTAAATATTTTTGATTTTTACTAAGACTTGCAAAAATTCTGTGGAAGTCTAAGACATCAAAATGAAGAGGAAAAATGAAAATATCTCAAGTCCACACTAGGACACAGCTGTCCTGCTAACCAGCATTTGATATTATGAATGGCCAGTATTGCTGCAGTGTTCAAAGAATAATTCAAGACTTCTGCTTCAAAATCCACTACTGGTTTTGTACTTCTGTGACCTAATAAGAGTCAAGAAGCTTCATCTGTTAAGCAAAATACATACCATAACTTCCAGTTGTATTGGCACATATAACAGCACCAAAGAACTTTGGAGCGTACTTCTGGATTCTGGAAATAACTTTTTGACAGGCTACTGTTGGGTCTGTTCCCATTCTCATATACTCCACTGCTTGGTAACTGAGAGAAAAACAACCACACACAGAGACAGTTAGCCATACTGAGATTATATGTTCTGAAATACCATTGATAGACATTGATTTCTTTGAATAATGGAAATACATGAGAAATAATCTTTATCCAAACTTCATATTGGCAATTATTACTCAAGTTCTACATGAACAGAAATTACAAACAGGTCTTAAAAGGGACTGCAAGATGTCCTCTGTACCATCTATCATTCTAAGGCATGACTAAACCTGGGATAATGTTCTCATTATTTGTAGTAGAAGAGGCTAGCAACAGATCAGTTAAAGAACTGCAAAGAAGCAGTTAAAGAGTTCGGGGCTTTTATTTTTCACTGTGTGATCAAGTTTGGCATGAAAAGTTATTACTAATTTTCAAAAAGACCAATGTCAAGATACTTTTCTGAAGAAAACTGACCTCTGATATTACTGATCAGTTACTGGTTTCAGTAAACATTAAAAAAAATTTCCAGAAAAAACTTCAGTTTCTGGAAACCTCAAAATTGACCCATTTTCTTTATTTCATGAACATGAAGGTACAGTGTTTTGATCAAGACTTTGAGCCACTTTCAAATTTCTTGTAAACCAATTAAAAAAAATCTACTCAAAAAAGAAATAAAAATGAACTTCTTTTGTATCTACGGTATCATTAGGCAAACAAATACATGGGCATTGTTTGAGATGAATCAGTTACATTTCCAAAATGTCCTCAGAGGGAAAAAAGTTACTTTTGTTGTCATTTTCTTTCACAACCTGAAGATTAGAAGATAACAAATAATGTAACTTACAAGCAAGCCACACTAGATTTTGTTTTGATGAAAGATGTAAAACCAACTCTTGTTAAACGAAGACTCATCTACAGATAACAGTAACTACAGATGTTATCAAAGTACCATGAAAGAGAGCCTTCCTGGCAATTTAAGGCTCCCTGTTATCTTACATTTATTCTAACAATCAAATAGGTTCAAGTCATCTAAAGATAACTATCTGAATATAAAGCTGTGTTTCACAAGGGTCTCTTCACTAATCAAAAACTCTGAAAGATGTTACTATCTCAGAGAAGGCAGACAGAAAATACATTTAACACTTCCTTCATTTCTGGCAAGCCAATTCTATTATTTGTTTTCTTGTGGGAATATCTAAATAACATGGACTTAGGAAAGATCTGTATCTACAAGGAACCTGTGATTAACCATCTAGTCTGAGTTGTTTTCTAAAACCCACTGGTGCCACCAGAAAATGTTTTAAGCACTAAAGCCAAATCCTTCAGGCTGCTAAAGTGTAATGAAAGCTTTTATTGATTAACCTCATAGTGGAGCGCAACTCAATACTGCTGTTGGTATCTGATACCTCAGGATAATTCGTGAGGTTGTCAATTCCCTTGTATTTCAAGACTGACTTAGAACAAATTGAAACTCATTGAGGACATTTGTAAATATGCAACAAACTAGTGAGCATTCTTAACTGCCAGTTTCAGAAAAAGCACCCCAGGAATATGAAGGCCACTGCTATATATTCCTTCAAGCATCAGTTCCTATTATGTTCAGCACAGGCTTCCA